AGGGGAGAAATGAAAAAAAGTCTCTGCAGCAGCTTCAGGAGCTGCTCACTGACAGCTCTCGGGGATGAAACCGTTAATAATGTCTGTATTGAGAGTGTTGCTGTGAGACGGCAGCGTGACCTGGTCCGTTGAGGTGAATGAGGCAGGGCAGTTGTTTCAGGTGTGCTGCAGGCACAGGCAGACGTCACTGCTACTGTTACAGTCGGCAATGTGGACCGATAGTGAACTGGGAGGTGCAGGCAGTGGCCTCCAGTGGACACGCACTGGGAGTTTTCCCCCATGCGTTGCCAGTCAGACTGAATATTCCTGTCTCCCTTTGTTCTCCAGGTAAGAAGAATTCCATCCTGCTGCATAAAGTCCAGCACGACCTCAACTCCGGGGTCTTCAACTACCAGGAGAACGAGATCATCCAGCAGATTGTGCAGCACGACCGAGAGATGGCTCACTGTGCTCACAATGTCCAGGCAGCCGCCGCCGCCTCCACCCCAACCCCTGTCATCTGGACACCATTGATCCAGGCGCCCTTGCAAGCTGCAGCAGCCACCACCTCAGTAGCAATAGCTCTGACCCATCACCCGCGCCTCCCAACGGCTATCTTCCGTCCTCCGGTGTCCATCTTGGGCTCCTTGGGGCAACAGTCCAGCCAGACGCCAAGACAACTAAAACGGCTCCAGTCATTTATGCCGTCGGCCGGTCCTTCTGCAGTAGGTTCTCCGTCCAGCACGCCATCCCTGCTGCACACGCCTGGAGCAGAAACCCCCTCGTCGTCTTCCTTCCAAATCCAGCAACTAGCAGGATTCACGGCCTCTGCTGGCTTAGGCCAGTTCCACCAGGCCTCAGTGGGATCGCCTTCCCCTGGCTCGAGCCAGCAGTGTCTGGGTGGCACGTCGCCAGCGGGACCCAACCACTTTCAACAGGCACCTTCGGGATCTCCCTTAGGGACCGCTCAGCCGCCGCCGCTTGCCAGCAGCTCTCTGCCTAGCGGATTTGGCCACTTCCAGCAGGCCCCCACCAACTCTCCACCTCCTTCCTTCCCCCAGCTCTCCGTGGGCTCACCTAGCACTCTGCTCAGCCAATTCCAGCCCACCCCGCCCCGGCCCCCGCAGGTGGGGCTGCTCCAGCCGCTCCCGGGCAGTGGAACTTTGGGAGGGATGAACCACTTTCCGCTCCCTCCTGCTTCCAGCTCTCCAGCCTCTAGCTTAAGCCAGCTGGCACAGGCCTCCGGGGGCTCCCTTTCTGCGCTGTGCCAAACACAACCAAGTGCATTAGGGTCTGCGGCTGGAACGCTAGGGCAGCTGCACCAGGAAAGGTCACCGCTTGCCTCCGTGTCTCCACTGCAGCAGCCTGGCGTTGCCTCCCCATGTTACTCTCCTTCCGGCCTCAGTCCTCCCAGCCAAAGCCCAGCGGCCACGAGAACTTTCCCGTGTGCTCCGGCGGGGGCCTCGGGCTCCCATGGATCTCTGCTCATGCCTCAGACCCCCAGCCCACCTCCACAGGCCCTTCCACCCAAGAGCTCTCCACATTTGCCACCCGGGCGCCTGAGCCAGGACATCAAGTTGATTTCTGCCTCCCAGCCGTCTTTGCCCCAGGAAGTGGCCCAGACTCTGAGCCGGAGCTCTCCCCTTTCCTCCCGGGAGTCTGTTCTAAGCTTCTCTCCTTTCCCGGGGGGAGGGGCGGGACTTCTCGGGAGGCCGAGTAGCTCTGTCCCTGGGCGCATGACTTTGCCACGCCAGATGTCCTCAGGGTCTCTGCCGCACCCGCTAGTGTTTGGGGCCAGTGCCGTGGTTGCCCCCTCCCTGACTGCCGGTGGGAGGAAAGAGTCTGTTGTGCTCCCCGGGGAGCTAGAACCTGTCAGGTCCAAACTGCCCTCCAATTTGTGAGGATTCCTCCTGGCGGTGTGATGCCGCTCGGTTCACACACCCTGGCTTCCCTTTCCCTTTCCCTTTCCCTTTCCCTTTCCCTTTCCGCCTTTGCCTTTCCCTTTCCGCCTTTGCCTTTCTTTCTTTGGTTGGATTGTGATTAGCGATAAACAAACAAGATAACCAGGTATTCTTAGAGCTATAGATTTTTGGTCACTTGATTTTATAGAATATTTTACTATGTGGAGCAAAAGAAAACGAGGAAATTTAATCCACTGAGGCAATGCACAGATAACATGTGTGCCTGACTGGACCTTGTGAATGATCAGCCATAGAGCCACCAAAAGGGTTTCCAGCGGAGACCCAGGGCCCAGGTGACATGGGCGGGAGAAGGACCATTGGGCTGGTGCGGAGCTGGTGTGTTTTGGAACAGCGCGGCTGGGAGAGCTGGCCTGTTGTGTGTACACTGGGCAGTTTGCTGTGCACATCAGAAGGTCCAGATCCCCCAGGGGTCTCCCCTGTCCTGAGGGGCTTGCTGAGGACGTGGCTGGGGCCCGTAGGGCTGACACAGTTGCCTGTAGGGATTAGAATCGCAAGGGCAGGGGTTTGGGTGCATTGCATGCCCCAGCTTCTGATGCCTTCCCGCCCCACCCAGGTCTTAGCAGGAGCCAATGGCCGTTCCCTCCGGGTAGCTCCATCCCCTGGGTATTTCCAAAGGGGGGGGAGCGAGGCAAGTTGTGGCCGCTGCCTCACTCCCAGCGCCGGACTTGGGGGCATCCAGCAAGTGGTGGGACAGTCCATTTGCCTCCCCTCCCTCAGTGTGAGCAGCTACTCTGGGGGCCTCTGCTTCGAAGCACAAGGGCCAGGAGCTGGGGGCTGTCGAGTCCAGCTAATTCTCACCTTGCCCCTCCTGAGTTCAGGGAAGTCCAAGGGGGGGCACAGTGGCACGGCATCCCCCTGGCTCTCTGCCAGGAGCCAGAGGGAGCCGCCTGCTTTGCATCTCAATTACTGTCATTTAAAAGATGTCTGTTAAGTGCTGCCAGCAGGCCTGTGCTCCTCCTGCCTGGCTTCCACAGCAGTAACAGCCTGCAGCTGGTTGGCTGGGGCGCCACTCTGCAGGGACGTTGCCAGACTCGGGGCTGGGCTCCCCGAGGGGAGACTGTCCAGGTGGGGCCAGGACAATGGCTCGAAACCAGGAGAGGGTTCAGCCACTCGATGGGTGCAGCGCTGCCGATGCCCCCTCTTGCTTCACTTGCCTTTCTGTTTCTTAGACCAACAGGCATCTCTGCTCCCCTCCCCGGTGCCCTCCTTCCTCTGCCCACACTAGCAGAGCCCCTCCCGGGCGCCATGGAAGGGAGGGGAAAGCAGCCTTCCCGCACAGCGCCCCAGGAACAGGGACAGCCCGAGGGAGAGCACCCCTCCTGGCTTTCCCCAGCTCCTGGAAAACCTGCCCGGCTGCTGGTTGTATGCCAGACGGTTTGCCAAACTCTGACACAGGTCTGTAGCTCCCAAGGCTGCAAACGTGGCTCAAGGTCTTTTGGTGGCTCACAATTAAGATGTAGTCAGCTTTGGTCTTCCTTAAAGGGTCAAGGGTATTCTGGAAATGTTTTCTACTAACTCAATACAGCTATATATGTGTGTGTGTGTATAGGTGTATATGTATAGAGATGCAGTATACACAGCTATATACATATATACGATATACACATATATAATATATATATATATAGAAATATAATCCTATTTTTAAAATACATGTCAGTTTTGACCCTCCTGTAGGGACAATCGGCAGGCGGCGCCTATAGTATATATACCTTGCTTTTGGAAACATATATAGGATCATCTGCCCAGCCCATCTGAAAACAGGAACCACTGACAGAGGGGGAAACTGACCAACAACCTCCCCCCCCCCGCCTCCTTGCTCAAGGAGACGAGAGGATCCCTAGAAGGAAACTTTGGGTGGTCTCTTTAAATTCCCCTCCTTGCCACATGCTGGACAGACACAGTGAGCGTCTTGAGAGGGTGGGACCTGAGCAGATGGCGGGGGCGGGGAAGGCGGGGACGGGGGGAGATCTCGCAAGAGACCAGCAGAACCAAGCCTTGGCGGTTGTGTTACTACTTGAATTTCGAATGAGGCCCAGGAAGGTTCAGACACACCCCTGGGCTGTCACTGGTGGACTTTTATCCCCCTCCGCCCCCATTCCATTTGGTGGACAGGCTGCATTCGAGCAAGTTTCTTTGTCTGGATTTTCTAGGGGACACGATTTGATCTCTGACCCTTAGCGGTGCAGTAGCTGATACTAGGTTACTCCAACTGGACCTCAGTCAACACGTCACGGTAGTGTGAAGTATTTCCTTTTAGTCTCTATTTTTTGGGGTTTGGTTTTGGTTTTTTGTGAGGAAGGGAAGAGTTGTAGGGGTGGGGTTTGGAATATAAAACAGACATAATAAAAAAACCCTTAGTAAATAACAAACTCCCTCTGGCTTGGAATCTGTTTACTTTAACCCACAGGAGAAGATAAAGAACTGACCGTACTGGGGGCTTTGTATTTTCCTTCCTGTGTGTACCCTGGTCTGTCTGTACTTTCCGAGATGCCCAAGTGATTTTGAAGGGGCTTCCTTTTTCTAGGAAAATAAATGAAATTAATGGGTAGCAGGTTTAAAACTAATAAAAGAAAGTTCTTCTTCACAGAGCGCACAGTCAGACTGTGGAACTCCTTGCCAGAGGAGGCTGTGAAGGCTAGGACTATGATAGAGTTTAAAGAGAAGCTAGATAATTTCATGGAGGTTAGGTCCATAAAAGGCTATTAGCCAGGGGATAGAAATGGTGTCCCTGGCCTCTGTTTGTCAGAGGCTGGAGAGGGATGGCAGGAGACAAATCGCTTGATCATTGTCTTCGGTCCACCCTCTCTGGGGCACCTGGTGCTGGCCACTGTCGGCAGACAGGCTACTGGGCTAGCTGGACCTTTGGTCTGACCCAGTACAGCCGTTCTTATGTTCTAAAAGTAAATGGTTGGGAAACACCAACAACTGCCGACTAGGGAGGGCTGGGTGCTGTTACACCTGCCAGAGGAAACATGACAGACAGTAGCAGGGATTGACGTGTGTGTTCCTGGGGAGCCGCCCTCCCCAAGTGTGGAACCCCAATGCGAGGTCCTGTACAAACGCAGCATGAGAAGCAGCCCCTGCTGCCAGAAGTTTATGCTTTGCCCAGAAGACAGAAGAACGGGGAGGGGGGAGTGTTAAATCCCCACTCTCGGGGGGCAAGGCTGGAATGTGCATGGGGCCCATTTTCTCAGGGGGGGCCTTCTCTGCAATCTCACTTTCTTTCTTTAAAAAGGAAGTTCACCCTGGAGCCTTTGTCCACATGGATCCCACTTTAGGGGTTCCTGCAGGTGAGAGGGGTTCTTGAGCCAGCAGTGCCTTTTGGGGCCACATGGGCATGTCCTCCTGTCCCCAGCCCAGGGCGCAGACAGCCCTCCCCTCTCAGTGCCCGGGGCAGGCCGTGCCCACCTGCTAGCTCACAGCACCCTTTTGCCCAGCCCTTTCCTGACTCTTCCACTTGTTTAGCTCAGGGAGATATTTCCGCCCTGTCCTTGTTTCCATCCTTTAAAATCCCCTGCCCAGGTGCTGTGGGGTGATTGCAGGCCTGCTGCCAGTGGGAGAGGCATGAAGTGAGGGCAGTAGCCACTGTGGCAGCCATGTGCCGCCTCTGTTGCTTGAGGAGCCGGGGCGCAGGGTGGCATAGAGCTGTTTTCCCCTCCAAGGGGTGTGGCCAGTAGCAAATGGTGGAGGGGGGGAAGGGAAGGAGGGGGCCCCTGCAATGAACTCAGAACACAACATATGGGTCTGCAGCACACGGGGATGGTCCAGGTGTTTGGGCACTAGCCAGAGACCTGGGGTCAGTGCCTTGCACCTCCTTGGTCTCCCCAGCTGAGCTTGGGCACGTCTGCCACTGGGGGCTGGGCAGAGAAACAGCTCGGAAAGTGAGGGGTTCGGGTGCCGTACGCCTGCCATAGCTAGGTGTGCAGGGCAGTTAGCCCCCCCGGTGGCGCTGGGGTTAACAGGGCTACCAGCATATTATGGGATGGACCTGTGCGCCACCCTCTCAGCTCCCCCCCACCTTGCAATGCAGTTACAGAAAGCAGTAAGGACCCAGCCTGCAGCCCTGTGCAGCAGGCCAGTTGCTTTGCAATGAGTCCCTGGGAGGCTGTTTGCACACAACACCCCCAGCTTCGGTCTGTCCGCTTCACCCGGTCGCGCTCGCCTCCTGACCAGCCTACTCGCCATCACGCTTTTCCTTCTCTCCCACTGTGGCGCCACAGGAGCAGTGTCACCTCCGGGAACAGCATCTCCCCTGAGCGCTGCTCCCTCCCCAGGGAAGGTGCTGGGTTTGGCGCCCTGTCACCTGCCTTGATTGCACTTGTGTCCCTTAATCAAATGTGTGCTTCCCTGATTGCATTTCGTATGGTGATTGAGCAAAGCAAGCCCCAGCGCGGCAGTGACTGCTCCCTGCGGCGGGAGCCTGCTCTCTCTAGTGCCGGGCTCAGTGCCACACTGGGGCTATGTCTACACTGGCGGGTTCTTGCGCAAGAATCCACAGAGCGTCCACACTGCCCACCCTCTCTTGCGGAAGATTTACAGTGCGGCGTGGTAAGAGAGGGCGTCTTGCACAAGAGCTATGCTCTTTTTTAACAGGTGTAAGCTCTCTTGCGCAGGGGCTCTTGCGCAGGAGGGCAGTGTGGACGCTGGGCAGGGATTTCTTGCGCAAGAATGCCCTATGGCTAAAATGGCCATCAGAGCTTTCTTGCACAAGAGAGCATCCACACTGCCATGGACGCTCTTGCACAAAAGCACAGCGCGCACATGGCAGTGTGGACATGTTCTTGCGCAAGAAGCCACCAGTGTAGACATAGCCTGGCTGTAACAACAGGTGACAACAGGCTGGCTTTGGCTCTGGACTGCTGCCTCTGGCGGTGCTCTGCCGTGGAACTGGAGCCTGGGCTGTAGCTTGCACTTCGGGGAAAGAGGGAGCCAAGGAGTCACCTTGAAACGTGGGCAGGGTGAATGGCAGCAGCTAGCAATGTCCCGAAAGCCAGAGCAGAATTTCATAACAACCGCCAGATGGGGTCAGCCCAAAGGTCCATCCAGCCCAGACTCCTGTCTGACAACAGTGGCCAGCGCCAGATGCCCCAGAGAGCATGAACAGAGCAGGGAATCATCCAGTGATCCCTCGCGGTCGCCCATTCCCAGCTTCTGGCAAGCAGAGGGTAAGGCCACCATCCCTGCCCATCCTGGCTGATGGCCCCAGCCTCCACAAACCTGTCTAGCTCTTTATTGCCTCTCCCAAAGAACTGGCTTCGGATGCACATTCGCTGCACTGGGCTGGAGGGAACGTGCTGTGAGCCAGGAGAGCCTCTTGCTGCAGGCCACAGATGGTGATGGTGGCCCTGGGAGTAGCTTGCCTGCATGGAGCCTCTGCTCTTGTCCCAGGCCTCATTTGAACTGGGTTTCCCATTCCCAGGGGCCCAGGTGCCTGGGTTTTGTTGTCCCCTGTTAACAAAGCCACACTGCGTGGCTACTCATCGCACATGCACAGGGAGTGGCCCAGGAAAGTGTTATGGGTTACAAACAGATGCCAAGTGTGTGGTGTTGCTTCTGGCAACTCACCGTGCTGGTTCCCACATGTACAGCCCTTCTGCTGTGCCTTGCTCCTGTACTCCCGCTGCAACAGCGGTGACCAGCAGCCGCCACTGCCGGCCTTTCCAACATTGAGAGCACCAGAATGGACTCAACCGTAATCCCACATCAGGTTAACACCTTGCTTCGCCCGCATTTGTCTGCAGGGCAGATGGATTGTTGGCTGCAAGATTACTGCCCTGTCTCCTTGGAGCTGCAGTAGGACCAGCTATAAACCACTATTCTGCTCCTGTCCAAGTGCTAGCAGCCCCCCCAGCTGAGCCTTTCTCCTCCTGAGTCTTTCCTGAGCTCCCTTGTGCCCCCAGCTGTGAGCTGCAGTTTCTCCTCTGTGTTCTGCCAACCTGAGCTAGGAGCACATGCATGGTCCAGTAAGAGCCAGGTGTGTGCCCTGTGGCCATCTGTTTTGAGGCACGAACAATACCTACCCCACTCCTTGGTGCTCATTCAGTTGTGTCGGGCTGACCCAGGCACGGCCATTGCTTGGCTTGCTTTCCTGTCGGTGTTACCATGTGGGCAGGAGGGTGTTAATGGTGGCGTCCCTCATGGGAGATTCATTTGCCAATCCCTGATGCGGCAAATTAACTAGCACTGCTTGGTCACTTTCTTAATCCCCCACCTCCTGCTACTATGGTAGCAACCAGGACCTCCCATATCAGGTCCCAGCTGCTTCTCCATCTCAGCCGGACTCTGTCAAATGCAGAGAGGCAGTCTGGGAAGCAACTGCTAAGCTCCTGGTATGCCCACACCTGTCCAGCCTCTCCCTGCTTGGCCCCTGGCATCAGCCAGCCTGAGACATGGACAGCCAGAGCCACCTCCCTGCTGGCCCCTCTTCTGTCAGCTCTGGCCTGGGTTCCATCTGCCAGGGTCATCCCTTCTCTGCCCAGATGTACTTGGGTCTGTGTGATCACTGGGGGACAGGCTGGGGATGCCTTGATTGTTCGACTAGCACTGCTGCTGCTGCAGCTGGCACATTCCCCTGGGAACAAACCCACGGCTGCGCTGGCGAGGGCTCCCGGTCAGCTCAGCGCTGGCCTGGGGCCTGACTGCAAGGCACTAGCTGTGCCCCAGAGGTTGGGGGAGTGCTTTCTTTCTTGGGAGGTGGAGGGAGGAGCTGAGGCCCCTTTTCTATGCTCCAATGCACCAGATCAGTGGGTCCCACCCTCAGCCATGGTAGGGGCCAGTGGTGCAAACGCCAGCCAATGCTGTAGATTGACCCGCAGGTTTCTAGCAAACACATAGGGTTGGCTGGGTGCCCGATGGGTTTTCCTCCCTTCCCCCGAGGCAGTGGGTCCCTGTTGCAGGATGCCAGCGCACATGGAGCAGGAAGGTAGGGTGCACGGCAGACCCTGTGCCCCTCTCTGGCTGGCATTTCAGCTGATCCCGAGCAACTGTCATGTACGTCTTTAAATGCAGAGGCATTGGATAAAAGCCCAGGAAACTCATCAATGTTAATGGGGGGTGCACTTTAACCACAGGTGCTAATGTATTTTCACCAGTGCTTGCTCTCAAACAGCTACACGGAGGCCAATCACATGAGCTCCCCTCCTGTTTCAAGCGCTGTGACGGCTGCGTGAACAGCTGGCTGTCAGGAATCAGGAGCCCGACATAAAAAATCGTGCGATTAAAAAAACCCTCCTGAGTGGGGTCAGTGTCTTTGCCTTCTGAGTGTTGAGCCCTGAATGTGCTGCGGGTCACATGGCCCCGCTTGGCTTCCCAAGCACACGGGATAAAAACTTGGCTTTGTTTTTTTACAGCAGCAAGCTGAGCGTCTCGGGCAATCCCGCGGCTGCAGGAGCAGGCTAAAGCCCAGCTGTTGGGAGGACTGTGACGCATGCAGGACCAATTAGAGGCGAGGAACTGGGCTGAGCAAAAGGCTTCCTTTCAATGCTGGTTCCTTGAATAGTGCCTTCATTCTTGCCACCTCTGGCCAGCTGTGCTGCAGGGTCTAGGCCAGGGGTGGGAACCTAAGGCCTGCATG